ACTCCGGCCTCTTTTCTGCTGACAGTTTCCACCCGAAGAGCCCCCGAGGCTGCTGAGAGCTTCTCTCCTGAGCAAGTCCAGCTGGAGGCTGAGCAGTTCCTTTCAGCCTGAAAATGAGCTGGACTGGGGAAGGAGGGAGTCTTCCCAGGCCTTGAGGGAGGGCTTTCATTTGATTCCCAGGGCAGGAAGAGGCCTCCTCTTCTAACACCAACAGGGAGGAGGGGAGCTGGGACCAAGGGGACTGGTGCTGAGGCGGAGGGCTGAGGTTTTCAGAGCCCGCGGGAGTTCCTGTGGCCACATTGTACGAGGACGTCTGTGTGTGCAGACATGTGAGTGTATGATGGTGTGTGAGCATGTGCTGCTGTGTGTGAGTGCACGTGTGTGAGTGCATTGTGCACGTGAGCGTACACACATGTGTATGTGAACAGGACTGTGGTACACACAGGTGTGCGCCTTTACGTGGGTGCACGTGAATGTACACACGTGTATGTGAACGTGACTGTGTGCAGTTGTGTGTATGTGCACTGTGTGGGTGTGTGGTATCCTTACATGCATACACATGTCAGTGCAGGCCCACGAACGCACTTACTATGTATGAAATAATGGGTGTGCACATGTGGGTGTGTACACGTGTACACATGCATGTATGAGGGCTCATCCATATTCATGAATACACATAAGTACAAAAGCAAGAATGTGTGAGTGTGCACATGTGTGTACATATGCATGTGTGAAGGAATGCAGTTACATGTGTGTGCATAGGAGGGGGCCCCTCTAAGGCAGCCTCTTCTCAGGTATCGTGAGCTGAGTGCCAGCTCTTGCTTCCTCCTTCATTCATCTGGTCCCTGGACTGGCCTCCTCCTCATTCCTTTCTTTCTTGTTCCTTTCATAAATTCAGCCTGGACATGGTTTCCATGGTGTCCTGATCAAAGTTGGAATTCAAATTATAACTGTGGTGGATGTGGGGAGGAGGGAGGAGGGGCAATGGGAGGTTTTCAGTTCAGGAAGCTCCGGTTCTGCTGCCATGTGGCTGGTTTTTTCCCTTCAGACGTAGTTAAAAATGTATAGAATTCTCTCCCAGTGCCTCCACTGTTACCTAGCAACCACATGGTGCAGGGTGCCTGAGTCTGCAGGCTGATGACTGCCCTCTGTCCTTGTGCTGAACCAGCGCCCTCCCACCCCAGCGCAAAAGACCTGCAGTGTGGAGGGCTTGGCTTCCTGTGGGGGGCTGTGGGACACAGCCTACCCCCTGCCCTCTGGTTCTGTCCCAACACCCCAGTTCTGTTCCTGTACCCCAGTTCTGCCTTGCACCCCATTCTGCCTTGCACCCCAATTCTCTATTGAGCTGGGACGTGCACATTTGTGAGAAGTGCCCAAAGCAGAAAGCTTTGATGTGAAACTTGAGGCCTATCTTGAAAGACTGTGTTCTGGGAAGCTTCTTGGACCAGCCACCCAAGGTCATGGGCAGGAGCTGGCAACAGCAATGTGACAAATAGATCGTCCCCTGATGTGCACTCCCACGTCACTGCTGAGGCTGCATCACCCAGCACTCATGGCTGTCTGGACAGAATGTGAGTTTGGGATCATCACTGTGTATCCGGATGCTGGACTCAACAGCAGACACTTCAGAGGACAGTGGCCCCCTCCTGCTGTCTGCCTGGAGCCCCTCAGACCGCCAGAAAGGCAGCCCAGTTTCCTGACATTCCTGAGTCACATGGACGTGCAGGCTGTACCTCCTGAAGGGCACATTTCCGGGGACAGACCCAGATGAGGGTCAGTTGCTGGGTCTGAGTTTTTAAGTGAATGGATACATTTGGAGAGTAAGAGAATGAATGAGTGATGGAGTAAGGGGGTGAGAGATTGAGTGAGTGAGTAAATGAATGAGTCGGTGAAGGGATGAGTGAGTGAATGGATGAATGAGTGGGGGAGGGAGAGAACGATGAGTAAGTGCCTGAGAGTGAGAGAATGGATGAGGAAGGAGGGAGTGAATTAGGTATGAGTGAGTGGAGGATGGAGGAGGGAGTGGAGGAGGGAGGAGAGAGTGGAGGAGGAAGTGGATGAGGGAGCAAGGAGTGGAGGAGGGAAGAGGGAGTGGAGGAGGGAGTGGATGAGGGAGGAAGGAGTGAAGGAGGAAGTGGATGAGGGAGCAGGGAGTGGAGGAGGGAGGAGGGAGTGGAGGAGGGAGTGAGTGGAGGAGGGAAGTGGGAGGAAGCTGAGGCAAGACCATTACAACCAAGGGATCTGGTCAAAGACACAGACACGCTTCTCCTTTATTGTAGACTCGGGTCTATAGGTGCCAAGTGCATGGACGTGACCAGCTATTTGAGGCGATGTGATAGGGGGTGGCCTGCTGGCCACTAGAGAGGCTCACATGGGCAAGGGATGGACAGGGACACACTCATGATGTGGCCCTGGCCCTGGAGTCAGGACAGGACTTGGCATAGGCTGAGAAGACGGTGGGAGTGAGGGCTGAATGCGCCCCAGGGAAACCAGGGGAAGTCCTGAGTCGAGGCTGCCTTGGAAAAGGGCTCTTTGTTACCTTAATTACATGAGACCAGAGCAGGGAGCATCTAAGCCTAGTCCATTCTGAGGGGTCCTATAGAAAGTGCCAACATGCGCACACACACAAGGGCAGGACAGACGCCACGTGAAGCTGCGAGCACAAGACGAAGGATGTGGGTCTTGGCCGCTCATCGGCAAGTGGAGCACTGGGGTTGAAAGTGAGAAAGGCGACGATCTCACACGAGAGGGGACATCAGCGGGCTCAACCAGGGCTTGAACGGAGCAGAGGCAGGATGGTGAGGGGCGAGGCGGGAGTCTCTCATGAGGACACCTAACACACCTGGTCTGTAGTGAACATTTCATCGGGGTTTCATTCACAGAGGAGAAAGTCAGCACAGTGATGCCCAGGTGTACCTGCTCACTGTGGCTAGGTGTTGTGGGCTCCCCTGTCCCCTCCCGGGGTGCTCCCAGTCCCCAACTCGGCCTCAGGACTGAGATCAACTCCTACCACTCAAAGCCATTTGCCGGTGCACTTCTGTACATCAGCTTCAGGTAACTAAGAGTCCCAACAGGCTCTGTCCGTGGTTTGTGGGTGTCAGAGTGCGGCTGACATGAGGGGTGTGGCTGCAGAGTCCTTCTGACTGCAGTAGCCCTGCCTGACCCCTCCAACCTGCTCCCCAGGGTGTCCCTAGCCTTGGAGGGTCCAAGAGGGTAGATGACCACCTGGGGAGCTGAGACTCAGGACAGCAGTGGCCTAGATGAGGAAGGGCAGCTCCTGGGTCAGCACTGACGTCCACTCCTGGTGGAGTAGGGGTTGTGCCAGTGCCTGGACCTGCTGGGTGGGAGAGTCCTCCAGAGCGGACCCTGCCTGGGAAGCCGGATGAGGAGGAGACCCTTTCCTGGGCTGGTTACATCTTGCTGGAGTCTGGAGACAAGGATTCTGTGGACGTCCTGTCTGGCCTGGGGCTCTGTGAGGTGCCCTGCCTGGCCTGTGGGGCACCATGGGGCTGAAGGGCACCCTGTTTGGTCTGTGGGACTGTGGGGTTCCTTGACTGGCCTGTGGGACTGTGGGGTGTTCTGCCTGGCATATGGGGCCATGGAGTGCCCTCTTTACCCTGTGGGGCTGTTTGGAGTGCCCTGCCTGGCCCATGAGGCTGTGGGGTACCCTGTCTGGCCTGTGGGGCTGTGGGGTGCCCTGCCTGGCCCATTGGGCTGTGAGGTGCCCTAACTGGCCTGGGGGAGCTGTGCAGGGTGCCGTGTGGCAGGAAGCTCACACTAGAGTGCAGGCAGACAGTAGAGGACCGGCGTGTGGTCTCCAAAATATACAATTCACAGCAGGGCAGCCAGCCCAAAGTGACCACAGATACTGTAGCCTGTGGAACATTGAGTTTTGAGAAGCCCAGGAGAGCCTGGTTTGATCCCCAGCAGGGAAGGGTCCCTCGACTCCGGTGTCTGCTCCGAGCCCACAGCACTGAGAACTAAGTACAAAGGACCCACCAAGGGCCTGAGCTGCTTTTCCAGGGCCCTTTGCTGCCACAGTGGCTGCTGGCCCTTGGGCATCCAGGGGAGCTACTCTTGCGTCCTGTTCCCTCTGCAACTGGAGGATGCCTAGTGGGCGTCTGTCCTACTGAGGTGGAGCCTGGCTTCTGCACACAGGGTGGCGCCATCCTGCTGGGCGCCTGGAGTTCTCTGGAGCCAAGGGTGATGGATGCATCTGAGATTCAGTCAGGGATGCAGGCCAGCGGGGCCTGGAAGCCGCCTTACCTGCTGGGGGCCTGGACCCACCTCTCTTCACCTGCTGGTGGCCTGGACCCATCTTTTAACCTCTCCTCACCGAGGTGCACACCAACAGGCACAGATCAGAAAGCATAAGGAGTCTCTGCCCACCAACTCTGGGGATCCTAACCTTGCGCTCAGGGGATCCCACCCAAGCCTGGGGCCAGGCTTGTGTCCTTTCTGGGCAGGTGGAGGCTGACCTTGCCTGGTGTTTGGGGGCCTGCTGTCCATGGTGAGGGCAGCAGGAGGAGTGCCTCTCCCCTCCCCAGGCCAGAGAAAGAGAGAGAGTGCATTTGCGCACACCCAGGAAAGCAGCTCCATGCCTGGCTGGACCTCTGTGCAGATGAGGAAGAACAACACAGGAGATAGGCCTGGACATCAGAGCCCAAGCTGCTTGGGACTTACCGGACTAGGGCTGGCCCAGGGCTGGAGGCAGCGGGCAGGCAGTCCCGATCACAGCTGTTGACAGCGGTGAGCCTCACTCAGAGGAGGCCCCCTCTCCCCCCAGGTCAGCATCAGAAGCGCTGCCACTAAGGACCCTATGCTGTCTGCCAGCCTAGCCCACTCCTTTAGTTCCTTCTCTAAACATCCATTAGTCTGCAAAGAGGCAAGCTTGTGCCCAGCACTAATTCCTCTTCATTATGGGGCCCCTGGAATCTGGAGAGAGACAGGCTCCCAGGCTTTCAGGGGAGGAGGGAGAGGGGCCACAGGGGACTGGGTACCTTCCAGGTGTGCCTGAGCCTGCTGGGCTGCTGGGGGGCTGATCCGAGGGTGGGGGCAGAGGCCTCTCTCCTGTCCCCCCATCCCACCCCTGCCCCATCCCCTTCTAGTAGAGAGTCTCCCGGGTGACATTGCTGGAGAAGGTGTGGTTGCTGGATACACTGTTGGCTTTCCTGGCCAGCACCTGCCTCTTCCTCCGACGCCAGCACAGGGGGCAGATGTAGGCCAGGGTGGACATGAAGATGTGGCGGAAGTTGGCAGAGACCAGGTTGTAGAGGACAGGGTTGATGGCAGAGCTGACGTAGAAGAGCGTGTTGGTCAGCATGTAGAAATAGTGGTAGAAGTCATACAGGAAGCTGCGGGAGGGAGCGGTTCAGATGGGGTGGCTCAGACGAGGCGGCAGAGGGGGCGGCTCACATGGGGCGGCTCAGACGGGGCGGCAGACAGGGCAGCGGATGGGGGCCAGGGATGGGGGAGGCTCGCACCACCACAGTCACCATTGTCTGTTACCTAAAGTAGGGGTTGCCTGGTAACCCCCAGACTCTGATTTGGCAGGACAAGGTGATATAATACTCTGACCGTGTCCCACCTGGTGGCTGGTTGCTGGGGGAGATTCAGCCGTCCTGTCTGGCCTCCCACCTGTCCCTACAACACAACCCATGAGGACTCTAGAAAAGTGGGTGCTGTAGTGGCCCCCACCTTATGACAGGGCCTCTTCCAGGCTCCCTGGGGAGTCGTGCACCTGTCCCTTGGCTTTCTTGGTCCATGGGGAACTCACTCCTTCACCAGGCAGACTGAGTCCTGGAAATCCTTTATTTTGGGCTTTACTTGTCCCCTCTGTGACTTCCCCTCCTTGTCTGTCCTCTACATGTCCCCCCAGCTGCCCTCTTCATGCTGAAGACCCTAGTGCCCACTTGGAGATGGCAGCCCTATCAAGAGATGGTCCCCAGGGCCTGAGGTGCTGTTCTGAGGAAGGCCTGCATGCAGGGTGGCCCCAGACCCCTGGGAACAGGAATTTCTGGAAGGTTCTCATGGTCTCTGGTGAGAGTGACCTGTGTTCAAGGTGTGCAAACATGGTGCTTGGTATGGAACTTGGCCTTCTGGGAGAGCAGAGTTGGGAAGTGCCAGGCAGAAGGCCTGTGAGCAGCCCCTGGGAATCCCTGGTCTCTCCCGAGCTCTCCAGTGGACAGCACTGTCTACATGTTGAGGTCACTGGAGAGTGAATCACACTGGTGTGACCAGGGAAGCAGGCCCTGGAGGTGAGTCCCCTGAGTCCTCTGGCAAAGCACAGAACCAACCACTGCTGTCCCTGGGGCCCTGCACTGCCCCCGTGTGCCTGAGGGTGTGCTCCTGTCCTCATCTCTGTTTATTCTCCTCTCACCTGTCACTGCCCTCATTTTCTGCTGCAGGAACCTGGCTAAGTGGGGTCAGCGACTCCCCAAAGCATCTCACATCCACACCCTCACCTCTGCAGTCTCCCCTCGGGATCACTGCCTGGCAGCCTTGAGCTGTTCCCTCGGCAGTGCCTCCCACGGTCTGACCTTCCCTACTGGCCCCCCAGCCACATACTCACGGGGTCCACTGCTCCTCAGACACGTAACAGTACAGGAGACGGCGCACATGGTAGGGCAGCCAGCACACCACAAAGGCGATGACCACAGCTCCTGAGACATGGAGAGGTGGAGGTCAGTGCATGGGGCGGGGCCTATCAGGGTACTCAGTGAGCCACAGGGCTTTGCTGAGGGCTCAGGGGTTCCCCAGGCTAGTCCCTGGGGTGGCTTCAGAGGCAGCATGTCAAGTCTCTACCATCTTCCTGCAAAGCTAAACAGCCATGGCTGACCGTGTCCCCACACTTCTGCTGTCGTGCTGACCCTGCCTGCACGTGGCTTATCTGGGGAAATGGGCTTTTCCTTTAGGTATGGGCACTGGAGTTGATGTGGGAACCTAGTCCTGGCCTCTTCTCAGCAGCAGCTTTAGAAAGAAGGCAGGACAGAGCTCCAGGAGAGTGTTGCTGGACCTGTGAGTCTCAGGGACATGTCCAGCCCACAAAGACAGTGGTCTACATCTGCCTTGCTGCGCAGCCACTGTGTCTTGAAGGCTTTTAAACAACCATCTAAGGTGGGACTACCATCGCTTAGGACACAAGGTGGCCTACAAGGTGGCTGGGAGGAGTGACTCACGACATGAGGTGGTCTGGAGGCATGGCTCAGGACACAGGGTGGCCAGGAAGAGTGGGTCATGGAATTGAGGGGAGGTGCTTGCTATTAGGAAGCCTCAGAAGACAAGGAGGAGCAAGTCCATGTTGGAGGCATTTGTTCAGAAAGCTGGGCTCCGAGTTCACACTGCACCCATGTGCTGGCCCCAGGAGCAGGCTGGCACAGAACACCAGCTGTGGCACATAAGCACAGCCTACGTCTTCCGTGCTCAATGTTTTCACATGGATTCCTTCACTCTCATGGTCAGGAGTTGTCTCTGTCCTGATCATTTCTCAGGTAAGCAGTACTCACCTAACTCCACACTGAAGTTATGTTTGGAATCCACTGGGTTGACGAAAGACATTATTATTCCTCCTTCTCTTGAAAATGTGGTAACTAGAACATTCTGCCAGATGGTATAACCAGAACCAGTGGGCAAGGGGTCATTCCCTTGATGCAAAGCTCCACATTGCTGATGCAGACACCTGGGGTAGTGACTACAGAGGCTGCTGGGGCCAGCAGGAGGCACTGGTGATGCTCTGGGGGCACCTGTCGGCTGCCACCATGTGAGGCTGGCTTCAGAGGTTGGGACGAGCAAAAAAAACACATCTCCCTTACAGATGCCTACTTCTCTGAGGACATCCAGGCCTGGAAACACGGGATGGAGGGCCATACCTGCACCAATAAGCTCTCTCCACTGCTCTTCTGTGACAGGACACACTTGGGACTTTTGAGTGTTAAGCTCTTAGAAGTCCCTGTTAGGTGCGCATAGTGTCCTGAAGGATCAGACCCTGGGTCTTGTCTGCTGGCAGTATGCTGTTGTTAGAGCGGACTGTTACCCATGGAGTCCAAAACTCCTCGAGAGAAGTTTGGGTGCACAGAGCCAACTGTTGTGTAGGGTGATTTGCTTGGACACATGGCTCAGGCCCAACCTAAGAATTAGCCCTGGAATATGAGTCAGAATGGAAAAGGAGGAGGCAGAAAGAGCCCGAGTCATCCGTGGTTGTATAGATGATTAAATGGAAGGATAAAGGAGGAGAGGAACGGAAATGATTTGATGGATGATTGGATGATTGGGCTGATGGAGGGATATGAAAAGGATAGATGGATAGAGGGATGAATGATGGGTCAGTAGGTGGATGGATGGATGGAAAGATGGATGGATGATAGATAAATAGATGAGTGGAGGAATTATGGTTAAATAGGTGAATCGATAGCTGGGTGGAAGTTAAATGAACAGATAGAAATGAATGGGTGAGCAAAGGAGTGATGGGGAGACTGACGGATGGAGGGAAGAGTGACGGGATGAATAGAACAATGAATGAATTTATGGAGGATGGATGTATGTATGGGTGGAGGATGAGTGGATGGACGGATGAATGATGGATGGATGGGTGGAGGATGGATGTGTGGGTAGAGGGGGGAGAGGAGGGATAAATGAATCAATGAGTTTATGGAGGATGGATGGATAGGTGATGGATGGATGGGTGGATGGATGGATGGGTGGGGTGTGTGGGTAAAAGCATGAATGGCACTGGAGAGCCGCCCCACAGACCCACTTGGGGCAGGAAATCATGGGCTCTGGCTTTGGTGTCTTTCACCTCCGTTCTCTGAGGTTTTGCCTTTGGTGACTCTGGGCTACTGCTCACCCCTAGGTGGGCCAAGATGCCACTACGTACGTAAGACCCGGGCTCCATGCCGCAGGGCCTGCACCCTGCCAGGCTCGATGGACATGGTGAAGGTGGTTTGCTGGCCCCCGACAGCGCAGACTTGGCCCTGCTCAGCCGCCTGGTGCACCATGACAGTCAGCTTGTTGGCGATGATGGTGTTCAGGATGGAGATGACCACCATAGGGAACACGAAAGACACAAATGCGTTGACCTGCAGGACAAAGGGTGACCGTCAGATCTGCTGGGCTGTGTGGCTCCTTCAAGGGAGCCGTCACCTCTGAACTGATCCTGGGCACCTGGCATGCTGGTTGGGGCTCAGGATCAGGGGCTCAGGATCGGGGTGGGGAGCTCAGGGTGTGTGAGTGGGTGCTCAGGATCCGGGGTGAGGGGCTCAGTCAGATTGAGCTCAGAGGGTCCCTCTCTCCAGCTGCTGGATGCCACTCTCCGAGCTCCATGCTCCACCTGCCCCCTCAGGGCTCCTCTGCTTAGGTCTATAGCATGAGGTGTGGACTGGAGGGTGCAGGGCTGGTCCAGGCTCTCTGTGCCCAGGTTTGGACATTGCACACTCACGCGTGTCATCCCCTTTCATCACCACCCCGCAACAGGACAGAGGAGCCCAGACTTGCCACCCCACACACCAGGGCTTGAATCCGGATGCCATGGCAGAGTCTGCCTTCTGCTCCACAAAGCTGCTCTGAGAGGGGCAAAGCTGGCATGTGTTTACGAGCACTTCCCTTCCCCACAACATCACCTCTGACCCCATGGGGGCCCCTTTCAGGGAGGGTATAGGTCTTGCTCAAGTCACTCAGTTTGCTGTGGCTGGCCCTGGCCTTGAACTCTGGCCTGTCTGCATCACAGGTCTGCTCCTTGGACAACCCCCCCCCCCCAGGCTGTGAAGGCCTCTGCAGGCACTGGGTCAGCCGGGTCAGTGACCTTGCTGCAGACTGTCCTGAGCCTCCACAGTGAATGATGGACAGTGGACAGCTTCGCCCAGGAAGGAGCATCACGTCCAAGGCCAAGGAGGAGCTGGCTCTGTGGACCTTGCCCAGCAGTGGTGACAGCGAGGCCTTGGCTCTCAACCCTTTCTCCTCATGATGTCAGCCCTGCCGGCCTGCAGCCTGTGGCTGCTTCCAGAGCTTCCTCCTAAGTCTCATTCCGATTCTCAGACGTGAAGAGCATTCCGGTGGTTTGGGGAAGCCTCTGTGCTGGTTTGGTGGATCAGCTGTGGTGATTTTTGGAGGAGGCTGAAGGGAATCTACACTTGGGGATCCCTGTGCTAGGCCCCAGGCCACCATTCCCAGTGCCTCCCTGGCCTGGTCTGGCCCTGGGCTCACGAGCAGGACTGGGGTCCTATGGGTGAGGCTTCGTTTGGACAGTGAACGGATAGACAATTGGAGCCTCAGGGAGCATGCTGTCCTGGTGAGGATGACCTCATGTCTACCCCTCACAGAGCTGCGTTCTCACTGGACCCCATAATACCTCACCCCTGAGCCTTCAGCTACCCCAAGAGTATATGCTAAGATCTCCTTTTATAGATGGGGAAACTGAGACACAAAGAGGTTCAGGAGCCCATACGGGGCACGGACACCACTCTCCTTGTCCACATGTGCTCTGTGGTCCACACATCACAGGACAGCAGGATCCCAGGGCCTAGGGATCCTCCAGCCGGGCAGTGGCCACAGTGACCCAGCCGCCACGTATTCCTAGACGGCTCTGTGACCACAGGGTTCTGGAATTTGGGAGTGGGTGGGTGGCGGGCTTGCTCCCTGAAGCTCCAATTGTCTATCTGTTCACCTGTCTGTCTCTCCAAGCATGCCTGCCTTCTCCAGGTGCACTGGCCCGAGCTGTGTCTCTGACAGGACCAGTCAGTGGCCACAGCAGGACTGACAGTGGCAAGCTGGCCCTGCTCAGCTCAGGGTGCTTGGTGACCTTCGAGGAGGCGTCTGTGCTCAACTTCAGGTCTTGTTCAACAGACTGGACACAAACACTTGGAGAGCGGCTGTCCTGGGCTCTGAGGGGACAGGCAGTCCTGCAGAAGTCTCAGTGCCTGTGCCTGTTGTCCTCTGGACAGTGGCCCTAAGTGAGGCTCGGGCCTGCTGTCTTCCTCCATCATCTTGGTGGCTTTCTGCATCCAGGTCCCACCAGCTGCAGGACCTCAGGGTGCAGGCCTGGCTGGGAACAGACCACAGTCCCTCTCCACTCTGGGAAGGTTTTGGGGCCTTGGGGCCACCAGGTCACAGGAAAAACACCATTCCCATGAGTCTACAGAGATGGTGTACTTTAACAGAATGAACATATCCAACACAGATTTTAACTGTCAAAACATTTTACATACCTCACCTCACCGAGCACAGGCGTCCAAAATAGCTGTCTGGGGGCTGGGTGGGGGTGACCAGGCTGGAGAGCTGACTGAGGCCTTTTCACAGGCTTCAGGCTCCAAGCTGGATTCTAAAAGGTGAGCTGGGCTGGTGGGACAGGCTCTGGTGACCTGAGGGCAGGCCCAGGACCCAGGCTGACCCATGTGGTGTGGTCCTAGGCAGGAGCCCCAGGGGTCAGCCCTGTTTGGCAGCTGGGTTTCTGCTGGACTTCAGTCGGCTGTCTTCCCTCTCTGAGTGTCCCGATTCCTACCTTCTCAGGGGAGAACCCACCCCCACCTGTGCCAGGTGCTCCACTGCCCCCTGGCCTCCGACTCACCAAGCCTGTTCACGTGGCCACTTGTTTCCCTCAGCTCTTTGGAGTGTCTCTCCACAGTGGCTCCACCAAGGATACTGCCATCCCTGCAGCCTCCCTGGCCTCCCTGCCCCGTGCCCTCACTAGACCTCACCTCCTTGGGGCCCTGTCACCTGTTTATTGCTGTTTTAGGAACTTCATTCTTGTCCTCTGAGCCCCAAGCACTTAGCTGTCCAGAGTGGAGTCATATCCTCCTTGGTGGCCAAGGTGTCGTGGATGCCCAGTACATGCAATGATCAGTACACACCAGAGGCTGAATGAACCTCCAAATTTTGACTTTGCTGACCTTGTAGCCTGGATCCTCCCTTTTTCTTGTCACCTGAGATGGACCCTAGACCTTGGCTAGGAAAAGACTTGCTAAGGACCTGGGTCCGTATGTGTTCAGCACAGCACCCCTGTCCCAAGTACCTGTGGCTAGTGTCCAGGACAAGGTTGGCCACCCTGTCCAGGCCGGACACCAGAGATACTCTTCCCCATTGTGAGAAGCTCCGATCTTCAGGATGACGCCATCTGCTCACCTCGCCTCCACCCACCAGCAGATTCTGGAAGTTTCTCCTCTTAGCTAGATCTCCCTTCCACAAGGCCCAGGACTTTGCAAAAGTGGCTGTGTTGTGTTCGATGTGCTGAGCGAGGAGCTGGGGTGAACCACTCAAGATCAGCTGGGTCTTGTGGGCGCCACCCAGCCCAGAGCTCAGAGGCTGGTCTGTTGGGGAAGCCCCATTCGTACAAGGTTGCTGGAGATCGAGATGTCTGAGCTGAGGGGCCTGCAGGCCATGGGACCCTGAAGGTCAGGAAGGCTCTTGGGGACTGCTCCCAGCTCCAGCTTCTACCATCTACCTTCTACCTTCACAGACCTGCATCTCTGCGCCAGAGCTGAGACTCCTGAGTGGAGCCACAGACACCAGGAGACCAGTTTGGGAGAGCATCTGGGATCTCCATCTCCCACATGGCTGAGGGCTCCCTGCAGGGAAGGGCAGAGGGTGGGAGAAGGTGGGGTGGGATGCTGTGAGGGCTCCCAGCACTCAAGAGAGCAGGCAGCTTGCCCTCCAGCTGTCTCCCATGGGGAACACGGCATGCTTCCTCCTTGAACGCTCACTACTCCCTCCTTCACTATTGATTGTATCTCAACGTCAAGAAAACAAAAATCCTCACCACTTGACAAGTAGGCAACATCATGATAGAGGAAAGACTGGAGCTGTCAATGGTTTCATTATGCTTGGATCCACCATCAATACTCATAGTAGCAGCAGCTAAGAAATCAAGAGACTTGTCGCGTTGGGAATGTCTGCTGTCAAGGACCTTTCCCAGGCATGGAAGAGCAAGGATGTCCGTTTAAAGACTAAAGTGCGAGGAGACCGCCGACTGGGTGATGCCACCTGGGAACCGTTGATTTTCCTAGTTGCTCTCTTCCAGCCTCGGTTCGGTGGTTGGGATGGCCCATGGAAATCAGAGAGAACTTGCCCGCCAGAAAAACATGAAGAAAACCCAGGAGATTAGCAAGGGAAAAAGAAAAGAGGACAGTTTGACTGCCTCAGAGAAAGCAGAGGGATTCTGAGATCATGCAACAAAAGCAGAAGGCAGCTGATGAGAAGTCTTTGCAGACCAGAGAAAAGTGAAGACAAGCTAATTTGGAAAACCTGGGTGCTATTGTCAACTAGGTGTATCATACGCCCTAAGATCAAGATTTTGCACAGCGAACAGTCATTACATATGTTATCATTTATCCTTATAAAACAGTCTATTTTAAACTTTACCTTTTGACCTGATTTAGCGTGATGTTTTAGAACTCCTCTTTGAAAAATAAAACACCAACTGTGCATGTAACATAACAAGAAAAGAAAAGACTAAAGTGAGCCTGGTCTACATCATGTATTTGTAATTGGCTCCTAAGCATGTGTATGGTGGTGGGAGACTTCACTTTGGCCCTTCCCACTCACGTATGGCCACACCCCCAGAAGTTTAGTGGGTGTGAGGGCCAAGAAACCAATACTTATATTCCGGATCCAGACGACACAACACCCTCTCCCGGGAAATGCTCTTCCTGTGACTGCAGTGTGCTGCAAACAGAAGAGAAGAGTCACTAAGCCTCTTCACAAGAAGTCAGTCCTGGAGCAGAAGCTCAAAGCAAAGGACTTTTTCTCAGAACAGTTTGAGATAGAAACCCTTCCGTAATTCTAGAACCTGAAATTTGGACTTAGAGCCTCCTAAACTCAAAAGAGACTGGCTGCAGCGTCAGAGACCAGCAGCAGTGTGAGCTGTTCAGAGTCACAAAGCACAGAAAGCTTGAGACCTAAGCCATCAAATCAAGCAAGGACCGGATGGGATGAATGGGGTAGGCAGAAGTGGAAGGGGATCCTGGTGGAGTGGGGAAAGGGATGGGTCAAGACACACATGCCAAAGGCAGGGAGAAACATATTGGTTGCTTCTATAATCAGGAAATGTCTTCCACCATCTGCTCCTTTGTGTAAAATGCTTGTCTGT